AAAAATAGTTCTTGGTTGCACAACTTCCCTAAGGTCCTTATACAAAGAAACTCAGTACTTTAGTAGTCACAATTAAATGTTTTACGAGATTATTTTTATAGTGACCCTCCAGATAAGCCTATAGTAACAGTTTATAGGGAAAAAGCAAAAAACAAGAAAATCTTAGGAGATGAAGGTCTACATAATGTGGTCCAGGTACCCAGAACACTGCTGACTTAAGAGGACATTTGAAGAAAGCATCCGATGGGCAGCGCCTGTGGCTCAAAGGAGTAGGGCACCAGCCCCATATTCAAACCCAGCCCTGGCCAAAAACTGCAACAACAACAAAAAAGTATCCTGAATAATAATTATTTTAACAGCAAGAACTCTCTAAAGTTTATTAAGCACAAGATCTACAGGATGAAAACCAAATTTAGCAAAGTAAGAACTGGGCCCAGGAATTCATCACAAAATAGCAGATGGAAAAAAATTCTAAGGGAAAAAGAGAAGGAATATAAAAATCTACAGTGAGGAAGAGAAAGTGAGGACTCAGCAAGTATTATGTATTACACACATATGGGACAATTAAATGCTTTTATTTTTACATCTACAATCAAGAATATTAAGGTCTTCATTAAAACAGACAGCTTCCTTCTTAGTCCCATTATCAAGGAGATAATGTTTAAATTCCCACACCTTACTCAGTAATGTTACTAAACAATGGTATTAGTCATCAAATGAAAAATAAAATAGTGCAGAATGTTCAAAGACATTTTATGTTCACTATACTAAGACAAGAAGATACACGAAACATTTTAGAGAGATTCTCCCAGAAGAGCTTAAAACAAAAAGGTATAACAGTTTTAAAACATACATTTGGTTTCCGACAAAGGTTTAATAACCAGAATCCACAGAGAACTCAAACGTATTAGCAAGAAAAGAATAAGATCCCATCTCAGGGTGGGCAAGGGACAAGAAAAGGAACTTCTCTGAAGAAGATAGGCACATGGCCTACAGACATATGAAAAAATGCTCATCATCCTTAATCATCAGAGAAACGCAAATCAAAACTACTTTGAGATATCATCTAACTCCAGTAAGATTAGCCCACATCAAAAAATCCCCAAACCAGAGATGCTGGCATGGGTGTGGAGAAAAGGGAACACTTCTACACTGCTGGTGGGAATGCAGACTAATATGTTCCTTTTGGAAAGATGTTTGGAGAACACTTAGAAAACTAAAAATAGACCTGCCATTTGATCCTACAATTCCTCTACCAGGTATATATCCAGAAGACTAAAAATCACACTACAACAAAGATATTTGTACCAGTATGTTTACTGCAGCCCAATTCATAACTGCTAAATCATGGAAGAAGCCCAAGTGCCCATCGATCCACAAATGGATCAATAAATTGTGGTATATGTATGCCATGGAATATTATGCAGCCTTAAAGAAAGATGGAGACTTTACATGAATGGAGCTGGAACATATTCTTCTTAGCAAAGTGTCTCAAAAATGGAAGAAAAAGTATCCAATGTACTCAGCCCTACTTTGAAATTAATTTATAGCTTTCATATGAAAGCTACAACCCAATTATAGCCCAAGAATATGGGGAAAGGGGAGAGGTAGGGGAGG